ATGTAAATGGCCGCTTATACAGAAGAAAGGCTGGAATGGATTGATAAAGGAGCAGACTACGATGGAGAATTGTATTCGATGAAAGGAAAAAACTTGTTTACCAAAACATATGTATCCAGCAGTTGTCCAATGGGCGCATGGACATGCACATCTCTCTAAGAACTTAATGAACTCACTGATCAGCAAGTATTACTGGGCTCCACGGATAACCATTTTAACCAGAAATTACTGCGCCTCGTGTGTAGTATGTGCAAAATGCAACCCGGGGAGGACAGAAAAGACACCGCAGAAACATCTGGCAAAACGTCTCTATCCATTCCAGAGGATACAGATTGATCATATACAGATGCCATTGGAGTCCCAAGGGGGGTGCCTAATAAATTCAAAGCAAGAGACCAAGTAAAAGCAGGCTTCGAATTTTTGATCCCCATAATAACTGTTAATAAAAATGTAGATTGGATAGATTACATACTGTATACTACAACCAACAGAGGTTTGTGAATTACACCAGAGATGCCCTTCAAGGAATCGTTGACCAGTTAGCCCCTACATCCTACATGACATTCCAGAATAGGATGGCTCTGGACATGATTTTAGCGGAAAAAGGAGGTGTTTGTAAAATGATAGAAGGAACTGGAACATGTTGTACATATATTCCTGACAATACTGGCCCGAATGGTAAGGTTACTCTGGCTATAAAAAAATTAGAAGATCTGTCAGTGGAGCTGAAGAAGAACTCAGGTATTTCAGACCTGTGGGATCAATATTTTAGCTGGATGAGTGGGTGGCAAAAAGTGCTCGCCCAAATAGGTGTAACGGTACTAATAATTCTAGTTCTTTTAGCTCTGATTGTATGTTGTATTCTATTATTTGTAAAGAAGTTAATAAGCAAGGTTGTAGACAACAGCACACCTACATTTCTCCATCAAGAAGAGGAGGACCCTTTTGTGATGGAAGAGGATAAACCTTTCACTCCTCTACAGTCCCTCCCCACCAACAGCAATCTCACAATTTTGTAGGGATAGCATCTGACTTCCTTATGTACAAAGTCTGTGGCAAGGGGGGTGATGAAATAGTCATCACCCGTCTAACGTACAGAGCATAAAAGAGTTCCAAGGTACATAAGGACAGATGAGCTAGGCTTTATAGGGACAGAGTAAAATAGTCATTTTAAGGGGGGACTGTGATGGATTTGGTAAAATGCCTATTCTGTTTTCTTTTTAAAATATACATTTTATACATATTTACTTTTATACTTTTTTATATTTCTAAATATATGTGTTGTGAGTATATATATATATATATTTTGTCTGCTGGGCTTTGCAGTCCTCCTTAACTTGTTTTGCTCAGAGCGATGCTCTCAACCCCTCCCTTCGCACTGAGATGATTTCACTTAGACTTTGGGAATGTGAAGGGGAGTGAACAGAGATAACGGGATGAGAAGCAAGCATCAAGTTTCTACATTTCTCCTATATTTCAACCAAGCAAAATGTGCCTTTCAGAATGTGACTGTATATACGTAATAGTGAGAGAGGAATTGGTTGCTATAGGAAGTGAGGGATAATCTCTACTAGAGGAGCATACAGTAGAAGGTAATAAAAACTGAATGTAGAAGAAATGACCAGAACTCCAAAAGTAACAGCTCTCAAATTTTTATGGAGATCTCAGTTGTAATCAAAACATAGCTTGTACAAAAAGTGTACAACCACTGATGTTTCAGAGACACAACAATAATCATCATAGATAACCCTGTTGTCCAGATTACATGCCTTCCTACAAAAGAGATTCTATTCACACAGGCCATCAAACAAACCTAATTTTTATAAGTGACTGTTTACTTCCCTTTATGGACAATATTTTGAGCAAATGAACTGCAAACTGGAGAAACATGGGAATGCACTCTTTCAGTCCTGAGGAAGTGGATGCAATCATTTTCCTCTCTGACCACACCACAGCATTTGGCTAAGATACCTCAGAAGATCACTTGAGACACTATAGATGTCTATGGAAAAGATGGGTCAATTTGGAATTACACAGGTTTACACTTTCAGAATACTGCAAGGCCAAAAAAATCCACTGTGGCTTTAGAAATAAAAACCAACCTACTACTGGAAGACAAAAAAGAGAATTTTGCAAAAAATGGATTAATGTTTCAAAATTCACTTAACTTTATGTATTTGGCTGAAGAAGAAGTCAACGTCCAGCTTTGTTAGCTCAATCAAAAGATTACTACTCTTGAATTGTCTACTCTTGAATTGGGTACTCGGTGACCTTACAAACAATACTAGAGAGATAAGGGTTCTCACACATACTAGCATTTCCAGTAGGTGATACTGCCAAATTTAGATGGTACTGATACTGCCAAAGATACTGCCAAATATCTGGACATGAGATTTCCCTTCTTTCCCATTTTATATGGATTGTCTCAGGTTGTTCATAAAGTCCTCAACCCACTAAAATACCACACATTTCAAGCCCCATTTCTGACCAACCAGACTCTGAATTAGCGATGAAAAATATGCTACTTTCCCTGCAGCAAACGCTGCACAGTGATATAACAAACGCAGTATCTCCCATCTCTAACGCTATCACCAACCATGCTAACCGGCTGCATCACATTGAAGATCAGATGTCTGCCATGTTAACACCACGCAATATGGTAGTAGATGCTTACGTTGGCCAAGAATCAGAAATTAACATGCTTAACCTCCCTGGCAGTATTCCCGAGTGTAGCTCAGGGTAAAGTTTCAGTACCACAAGCGGTAACCCCGAGCTACACTCGGGCTTACCAAGCGGCGCTGCTCCACGATTCCTCGATCACTTACCTTGCCCTGCGCTCCCGCGATGTCCCTCCTGCAGTGTCCCCAGCAATGTAATCCAGTGAATGTCGGCATTTGTCATCTGGGTTCCGTCCCCTGCGAGCGGAATGGCGGGAATGGTGGGAAATTTGAAAATGACAAAAAGTGACATTCACTAAAATCACATAGTAAAACATTACTGTATCAAAGCATTTCACATACATTTTGTCCCTACTGCTTTGTCCTGTGCCCTGCCTGCATTTTTTACTGTTCTTTCTGCCTGGAAACTGAGAAACGTCCATGGCGTCCAAAAAGCGTCCCTTTAGGTCATAATCGATTTTAGACCAGCTAGAAAACAGCGATAGTAAATTAGAACTACTTGCAGAATTGAGTGATAATGATTCGTGGGGAAATTCGTCATCAGACACTGAAAACGATTTTGCGACTTTGCTCAGTGATGTGCAAACTTGGCGCTATATTTCAAATTTCAGAGTTTTTGTTTTGATTATATTATTGAATTACATTTATTATTATATTATTTTTTATTATTATTTATTAAATTATCATATATGATTTTGTGTTTCAAGTTTTATCATACCCGGGATGTTTACTAGACTTTTGTTCGGACAGGTTTCAGTCAGTTATTCCTAAAAATTACAGGCCTACAATAAAAAAAATACATATTTCCATGAAAAAAAAATGTACCGCTTTGAGCACAGAAATATGGACATAATCAGACCGCTAGGGAGGTTAAAAGTAAATTAGCGGCTCTAGAGGACCGCTCAAGACGTAATATAAAAATCTGCGGGAATCCAGAAACGGTCACTAATGACTCTATCCAATCATATATACAACAACTCATCAAACTTCCATCTATCACCCCCACAGAAGCTGCCATCGATAGAGCACATAGAATTCCAAAACCAATATTCCTACTAGCTTCAACACCATGGGCACTGTCACTTTAATTTTCTTTTAACCATTAGCCGCCCGGCCTATAGCCGTTTGGCAGCCTCAAAAATGCTCTAGCTTTCCGGGGTGTACGCCATTTGGCATCCTCCGGCACATGCGCAGTTCGTGCGGTTGCAGAGCCGCGAAGCGGTGCGATCTGTCACCGGCCGTGTACCACGGACACGGCCGATGACAGATCTGAGTACAGGCCCCGTTGCCGGTACTATGTGACCTGCTGTGACCAATCACAGCAGGTCACATGACAGTTGTATACAATGGATAGCTTCATTCATGCCATCCATTGTATACTAGTGCCTAGCTGTGAATGGTCACAGCAGGTCACATGCACATGTCATGTGACTAGCTGTGGCCAAATCACAGCTAAGCACAAAAAAAAAAAAAACCTGAATGAATCGATGTCATTCAGGTAAATGCTTGCTTATAGCAAGGTAATTCTTTGCTATAAGCAAATTGTGTAAAAAAAAAAATACTGATCACTTCCCCAAAGTAGTACAATGTTACTATGGAAACACTGTACTACTTTGGTCATAGTAAAATATGAAAAAAAATCTTAAAAAAACTAAAAAAATGTAATAAAAAATTAAAAATAATAATTAAAAAAAAATATATATATTTTTTTTTTCATACGGTCACCAGTCAGTGTCCTTGTTCACCGCCATGCCAGTTATATGATGACGCTGTACTGCACTGGTGACAGTATGTAAAAAAAAAAATAGTGAAAATAATTTTTTTCATTTTCCAAAAAATTATGACAAAAAAAAATACAACTTCAAAAAACTCGCCATTCCTCTTATGAAGTACGTCGGACTGTCTACTCTGCAAAAAGGGGTCATTTGGGGATATCTGTACTATTCTGACATTCTTGGACCTCAAGAAATTAGATTGGCTGTCAGTACTTCAGGATTGATCAATTTTCAGATCTATACCATAGTTTGTGAACTCTATAACTTTCCTACAAACTAAAAAATACATCCTAATTGGGTTATTTTCACCAAAGACATGTAGCAGAATACATCTTGGCCTAAATTTATGAAGAACAATTATTTATTTGTAAACTTTTATAACAGAAACAAAGAAAAGCGTGTTTTTTTTTTTCAAAATTTTTGGTCTTTTTTTTGTTAATTTAGCAAAAAATAAAAAAAACCCCCAGCAGTGATTAAATACCAACAAAAGAAAGCTCTAGTTGTGTGAAGAAAATGATAAAATTTTAGTTTGGGTACAATGTTGTATGACCGCGCAATTGTCATTCAAAGTGTGAGAGCGCTAAAACGTGAAAAATGGCCTGGGCAGGAAGGTGTAAAATTGCCCGGTATTGAAATGGTTAATCATGTTTATTGCTGTCCCAAGGAATGTAAACATCCCTTGTGGCAGCAATAGGCATGTGACAGATACTCATTATGGAGGGATCTGAGGTCAATGAGACCCCAAATTCCTCTTCTGCCCTTAAAAGCATTCAATCACACCAAGATTGGTGTGATTGAATGCTTTTATTTTTTAGAAATGGCGCTGTGTATTTCTGAGTAAACCAGAAGTGATGTCAGATCATCACTTCTGGTTTACTATTCAACAAAACTGAACAAAGCTGGTTAATTGGGACTCTCGATGGGACAGAAGCTCCATTAAAGCCATGGAAAGCAGCGATGGGGGGCGTCCCCTACTAATGCTTGTAAAAGAGTGGCTACAATTGCTATTACAAGACAGGTGACCATTAGCCGATAAAATTGTTTAACAAAAATACCCACATTACAAAAAAAAGACAAGGCTAATCTACTGTTGAACGTTACTACTTATGCATAAGTGTTTTAAAAGAATAGACTTTTAATGGTGCTTAAGGTACAACTCAATTAAAACTTATAACAACATTTATTTTACAAAAAAAAATACATAAAAAGGGATCATAACAAATGGCATTTAAAAAGAATAAATTCTCCACAGGTGTATGTTGTAATTCCTTTACAGCGCTAGATCCATCTGATATTACACACCTTACATATGTGCATGCATGTGTTATGGATAGTACGTACAGGATGCCGTGCTCATATGTATATATCCAATTCCTCCCAAACAGAATGTGTTAGATGTGCTTTACGTTTCAAAATATTATATACATAAAATAGGCAGCCACTACTTGTTGCCATAGTATAGTTGGGTGTACAATGCAGCAGTCAATCAAATATGTTCGGCATATCTGTAAAATATCTGCTGGGATGTAGCACAGTAACTGGAGAAGACCCTCTAGCACAGGTTGACAACCTCAAGGTGATATTTTCCTCCTCAACCACTTTCCTCAGGTTTCACTGAACCCCCATTTCTCACTATGAGGTGGATTTACCAAGATTGGTGAGTGCAAAATATGGGGTGGCTCTGCATAGAAACGCTGATTGGCTACCATGTACTACTGCACCAGACTTTGCACTCTCCAGGGTAGGGGGTGGGAGTGCTGAAGCAAAGAATTTAACATGGCTTGCCACCTTGTTTATCTGAAATAAGGAGGGGGGTAATTACAAACTATGTGGCAGGGTACATTAACTTGGTGTCAGCAATTTACTTTATTTTCCTTGGTATGGTGATATGAAGGGGTGATGCATTATACAAACATTTTGCATAGGGTAGACGTGCAGTAGGGTAGAAGGGCAGTATAGAACATTGCCACACTGCAGATTAGAGAGAGTTAAAACTGACGGCAATACAGCATTTTATTTTTTAGTCAAGTGTTAGCACAGTTTTATGATAGGAAGGATTTTGAAAAGCCGTTCCATCCATTACTAGTCTCTCTATTTGTAAATAGAAAGCATCTCTATTTGAATGATCTAAAATTGTTCTTCCAAGTAGACTGATAATTTTCTCGGGCTTTGTTCCACATCACTTCTATGCTTCTAATGTCTCCAGCTGAACCATTTTTCAAAAAACATATTTTCACCATTCTGTTGTGGCAGCCATCTGCTCACATTCAGCAAAATTGGTCCAACAAAACACTAAATGTTCAATTACAATCTATGTCCAGGTAATTTTATTTTCCATTACTCACTTCATCATTTAAACCTGTCCAGAGCTGGTCTCCAGTTAACATAAATGTTTCAACAACAATGTTTTTTTTTTTTTTTCAATATGTATCAGTAAGCAAGCAATATGCAGTGCAAAGAGCAAACATGACATACAAAGTGCAGTAAACCATGACAATAAATCTCAGATTGAGAAGTGTAAGTCTTTTCTCAGATAAGTAAACACAATTGAACTTGCACTAACTACTAATAAAAGGTGGCACTGACCACTAGTGATGAGCTGAATTGCCCTGGGTTCAGTTCGGTACTTCAAAGAAGTTCATATGCCATACCCATCAACTTTAATCATGGGGGTGCACTATCCTGGGGAATAGGTACCAATGCCAAAAATTGTGGGCAGGAGCAGTTATTTTTTTTTTTTAACACAAACATTTACAAAGAAAAAAGTGTTTTAAATTGCTGGCAAATGACACCTCCTTCCTGCACACAGACCCCAAAGGTTCCCCCAAATAAATTGCAGACCCCTAAAGGTCTGCTGTCTATTGTAGGGGAACTTTGGAGGGGTCCATGTTCTGGAAGGGGTGGGGATAGCAGTAACATCATGGTCATATTTAGGCATTGATGTAACAAACTCTATTACCTGACCATTTGCTTACATGGCCGGGGATTCCTGGCCATGTAAGTAAATGGGCCCTGTGATATCAGTGGTTGGGAAGGAAGCAGTGGCTGCAAGTATCTGATGCTTCCTTATCAAACATTAAGATGAATGTCTGAACAGCCAGTGCTCAGTCCAAACATTAGTTTAGACCAAACACTAACCTCATACCTACTGACCACTGAACACCAATATAAGGGTGACTGACCACCAACTTTTAAGAGTGCATACACCACTAACCAACACCATTTAACAATCACTTTTAACTATCAGCATTTAAAAGGTTCACTCACAAATGCCCATCAACATTTAAGAGCATAGCAAGGTGTAACCCTTATAGTGAGGATTTCCTTTTTTAGTGATAGGCCCCTTTTATCTTTGGAAGGGAGGTGTCAGGTATTTTAATGGTAGGTGGGGCTAAAAAGAGAAACAGTGTGGCTAAGGAGCAAGCCATGCAACTTATAGTGGTGATGCTGTCAGGGATCTCAGGAAGGAAATGCCAATTCCCGTGCAGCAAGTGCTAATTTTCATGTGAATGTGCAGGGTCGTTAGCATATTATTATTTATTTTATACAGTATTTATAAAGCGCCAATAGTTCACTCAGCGCTGTACATTACAAAGGGGGACAGAACATGTGACAGAACAATACCAATACAATGCAAAACATGAGGGGATTGAGGGCCCTGCTCTTTCGAGCTTACAATCTAGGAGGGAGGGGATAGTGGTACAGGAGGAGATAGCTGTGGGGGATGGAGTGGTAGGAAGAGTGGAGGAGGTCGGCAGGTTAGCAGGGGGTGGGGTAGGCTTCCCTGAAGAGATGGGTTTTCAGGGTGCGCTAAAGGAGAGGAGAGTAGGTGATAATCTGATGGGTTGGGGCAGGGAGTTCCAGAGGATGGGTGACACCCTGGAGAAGTCCTGGAGGCGGGCATGGGAGGAGGAGACCAGGGAGCTAGAGAGGAGGTCTTGTGAGGAGCAAAGAGTATGTGTTGGGTGGTATTTGGATATCAGGTCGGTGATGTAGTTTGGGGCAGTATTATGGATAGCTTTGTACGTCAGTGTTAGCAATTTGAATTTTATGCGTTGCGCAATCGGAAGCCAATGGAGGGAATGGCAGAGGGGGGTGGCGGAAACGGAGCGGTTGGAAAGTTGAATGAGTCTGGCAGCCGTATTCAGGATCGACTGAAGCGGGGATAGCCAGCGGCGAGGCAGGCCAGTGAGGAGGGAGTTACAGTAGTCGAGTCGTGATATGATGAGGGAGTGGATGAGCTGTTTAGTGGTTTCTGGGGTTAGGAACGTGCGTATATTGGCGATGTGCGGAGGTGGAGTCTGCACAAGTTTGTTAAAGATTGGACTTGGATAAGGATAAGGAAGGATAAGTTGGAGTCCAGAATGACACCAAGTACTCTGACCTGCGGGGTGGGTTTGATGGTGGCGTTGTTGGACATGATGGAGAAGTCAATGGGGGGTGGTGTCCGGGCTGGGGGGAAGACAAGAAACTCGGTTTTGGAGAGGTTCAGTTTAAGGAAGTGGAGCGACATCCAGTCTGATATGTCGCTCAGTAGGTGTGTGATTCGGGCCGAGACCGAGGGGGTGAGGTGGGGGGTTGAGAGATAGATTTGTGTGTCATCGGCATGGAGGTGGTAGTTGAAGCCGTGAGAGTGTATGAGTTGGCCAAGGGAGGAGGTGTAGATGGAGAAGAGAAGGGGCCCAAGGACAGAGCCTTGAGGGACCCCAACAGAGAGGGGAAATGAGGGGGAGGTGGTAGCATTATAGGTAATGCTGAAAGAGTGTTGTGACAGGTAGGATGAGAGCCAGGAGAGAGCAGAATCTCTGAGACCGAGGGAGTGTAGTTTTTTTGAGGAGGAGGGAGTGGTCGACTGGGTCGAAGGCCGCAGAGAGGTCAAGGAGTAGGAGCACTGAATAGTGGCCATTAGCTTTGGCGGTTAGCAGGTCGTTGGAGAGTTTGAGTAAGGCGGTTTTGGTGGAGTGTAGGGGACAGAAGCCAGACTGTAGGGGATCGAGGAGGTGGTTGTCGTTGAGGTGAGAGCATAGGCGGGTGTAGACGAGGCGCTGGAGGAGTTTATATGTAAATGGGAGCAGGGAGATGGGTCTGAGGTTGTTCGGGTCATTGGGGTCCAGGGAGGGCTTTTTAAGTATGGGGGTGATGTGTGCATGTTTCAGAGGGGAGGGGAAAGTGCCTAAGGAGAGGGAGAGATTGAAGATATGGGTGAGGGAGCGTAGGATGGAGGGGGAGGAAGGTCGTAGGAGTTGTGAGGGGATAGGGTCGAGGGGGCAGGTGGTGAGTCAGGCATCAGAGAGGATCTTGGAGACTTCCTCGATGGTAGTATGTTCAAAGGTGCGGAGTGTTGGGGGAGCTTCAGTATGAGGAATGTAGGGTGGGGTGGAAGTGGAGGTCAGAGCAGTGGTGGGGCCGTGGGAGAGGGATGATGAGGGGGGTAGCTGAGTGAGGGGGAACGGGGTTGGAGGGAGTTTGAGCAGCCACGAAGTCCCTGCGGGTTATGTTGAGGGGGAGGGGGGATGAGGGGGTAGCTGTGTGAGAGGAGACGGGTTGAGAGGGCGTGTGAGTTGCGGCGATGTCCTTGCGAATTGTGTCAATCTTGTTTTTGAAGTGATTGGCAATCTCAAGGGCGGTGAGTGAGGTGCTGGGTGGAGGTGGGGGTGGAGAGAGTAGAGAGTTGAAGGTGGAGAAGAGTCGGCGAGGATTGGAGGAGAGGGTCTTGATGAGGGTCAGGAAGTAGGCTTGTTTGGCTGCGTGGAGGGAGGAGGTGTAGGTGTGGAAGGCAGATTTGTAGCGGGTGAAGGCTTGTTGGGATTTTGTTTTGCGCCATAGTCGCTCCAGGGCACGACTGTGTCGTTTGAGGGGTTTGGTGTGATCAGTCTGCCAGGGCTGGATAGAAGTCTAACTACATATGCAAGGAGATGAATATGCACATACATGAGCATTGGCACCCCACAAGTCCTGGCACCCAGTGGCCTATTTAAACCGAAGTTTTGCTTAGCCCCAGTGCTGGATTGTCCTCAGCTCTGGTTCCTGTATTCAAAGTTCTTAAAAGTCTGCTTACCTTGTTCCTGACCCGGCTACTTCTGACATCTCTCTTGGATCACCAATGCCCGGTATGTCTGTTGCTTGCTTGTGTTATTGGACTTCTGACCACTGCCCCAGCAGTCCCTGCCTCCACTGCCAGGGGTGCTGGGATGGGAATTGCACAAGAGGCCACCCTTGGGCTCCACAGTCAGGTAACTGACAGATGTGTAGAACACAAAGGTGGACTGACCATTTGGAAACTTGGGCACTGCCCGAGGGCCCGGGGTCAGTAGGGGGCCCCATGAGATGCCTCTGGTACCTTTTTCATAGGCTTTTTTGAGTTTGGGCAAGGACACAGGGGCCCCATGATCCCCTATTGTCCCATGAGTTGTCAGTCCGCCCCTGGTAGAACATGAGCTTTTTTCCCTTCAGAGAAGAGAGAAGGACAGTTGACCTTTAGTGCAGGAGCAAATGGGAGAGAACAGTAGGCCAGATTCGTGAGCAGTGTAGCAACTTCCTGCATTGTATATTAAATAGTCTTTCAATTGCACTGCATATGCTGCGTTGTAAAATTATACAGCCTTGACTTTTGTCCCCCATACCCTATATTGTATGTTACATAGTCCTGACTGTTTTATTGAAGCTTTTATTTAAGGCCTCAATCACACAGTTGCTGAGGTCTATACACAGTGAATTGGCTATTTGTTTACGCAGGTATTGTGTGCAGGCAGCCCATGTAAATTTATTAATAGTTACACAGCCACTCATCCTAATGTGGCAGGCATGGGGGTGCAAGTGAGCAGCCCCGAATGCTGACATTGTGCATTCAGAGCTGCTCACCCATATACCTGTCACATTAGGATGAGTGTGGCTATATCCATACAGTCACTGCATCCCCAAAGACTTCATGGGCTGCCTGCACTCAGCACCTGGCAACTTCAGCCATAAAAATAGCCAATTCCTGGTGTACAGACCTCAGCAATCATGTGAATGAGGCCTAAAGGTCACTTGTACCCAGACATTAAACTATTTACATAACAGTAAAGCCATAAAAGAGATTTAAAACAAGCTACCTCTGATCCAGGCCTTGCTTTGAAATACTTTCACTGCTTTTTTAAAATATGTAAATACTTTAGTATTCATAGTCTGTGTGTAGATTTACTTCAAAATAGGCCCAAACAATGAGGCTTATTTACTAAAAAAAAAAAAAGAGCTGTTTAAATTGCAGAGTGTACGTTTACATTGTAGAGTTAGCCTTGCTAAGTAAAGTTGAAGTTGTGTTCACTTTCAAAGGCCTTACATTCTGCCCAACCACCAAATTGGATCATTTACAAGTATTGTCAGATATGGAGGATTTCTTCAGGAGACTAAGGCTCAAAGAATATTTCAACAATAATGAAAGGAATCCTAGGACAATGGAGTGCTACACAAAGAAAAAGAACAGCTGCTTCACACCTCCACAAGGACGCAACCCCAAACTGGACACCTATATTGATAGCTTTAGATTGCGAGCTACATCCCTGATATCCACCCAGCAAAAGAAAATTCTGTACAATCTTTCACCACTAGAGCGAAGGGCTATACACGATTTGCGCAACAAACAGGCCATCACCATCAAACCAGCGGATAAAAGGGGGAGCAGTTGTTGTGATGGATACAAACAAATACATACAAGAAGGCCAGAGGCAGCTGGAAAATGCCATTTACTATAAAAAACTGGATTATGATCCAACCCAGGACTTTACAAAGCAATTAAAAGGTCTCATTAAAACACTTCCAGCCCACCTACATTCAGAACTTATAAATGCGATTCCGGATCATCCAGAAATCGGGGACTTCTACATGCTGCCCAAAGTCCACAAGCCAGGAAATCCAGGCAGACCCATCATAACAGGTATGAATACACTCACCGAACAAATCTCAGGCTTTGTAGAAAAAAATTTAAAACCGTTAGTCATGAATACTGCTAGTTTCCTGCAAGACACAACTGACTTTCTGAACAAGATCAACAACATCCAGCAATTACCATCTAATACACTTCTAGTGACTATGGATGTAGTATCCCTGTATAGTAATATCCCTCACAAGGATGGATTAGCTGCATGTCACAGATCCTTATCATCCTCACCAAACAACAAATACACTGCTGAGGATGTTACACAGCTCATTGAATTCATACTTACACACAACTACTTTTCTTTCAATAAGGACATCCATCTTCAATGTATGGGCACTGCGATGGGAAGTAAAATGGCACCCCAATATGCAAATTTATTTATGGCTGACATGGAGGAACAATTCCTGAACAGCATGGAACAAAAACCATACAGATACTTTCGCTATATTGATGATATTTTCATCATATGGACAGAAGGTGAAGAAAATCTAAAACAATTTTACTCATTGATGAACACTTTTCATCCATCAATCAAACTAAAAATGGAATACTCAAACACACACGTCAACTTCCTAGACACCACAGTATACATCAGGGATGATACGCTTCACACCTCAATATACAGGAAACCCACTGACAGATGCAACTACCTCCACAGTTCTAGCTTCCACCCCCAACACACGAAACGTGCCATCATACACAGTCAGGCCATCAGATACCACCGAGTATGTTCTGACCCAAGAGACAGAGATAAACATCTCGGGACACTAGCAGACGCCTTCCATAAGAAAGGTTACAAGGACAAAACTATCAACACCAGCATAAACACAGCCTTGAGAACCCGAAGGGAAAATCTACTTCAGTACAAAGAGAAAAAAAACAAACAACCGTGTACCTCTAGTAACTACATACAACCCGGCACTAGAGGGAATAAGAAAAATAATCAAAGATTTACAACCCATCATAACAGAGGATGGAACTCTGAAAGAAATATTCCAGCAACCCCCAATACTGGCTTTCAGACAACCCCCCAACCTCAGAAATAAACTAATCAGTAGGAAACTTCCTTCTGATTATGATGCCACAAATAATGGAAGCAAACCCTGCAATAAGAAACGCTGCAAGCTGTGCAACCAAATCAATCCATCAAAAAGTGTCAGACACTCAAAAGGGATCTTCAGTATTTTCCGGATCATTCAGCTGCACCTCCAGTAATGTTGTGTACCTTATCCAGTGCAGAAAATGCAGCAAAGGATCTTATGTTGGCGAAACAGGACAGAAGTTGCAAACACGGATGGATTTGCACAGACATACCATCAAGGAATATAAAGAAGATGACCTCTGCACACCTGTAGGACACCATTTCTCACAACCAGGCCACAATATGGAAGACCTCAATATTTTAGTTCTGAAAGGAAAATTTAAATCCATCCAGGAAAGAAAAACATTTGAACTAAGAATGATAATTCTATTTGACACAAAAGATAACGGTCTTAATTTGGACATGGGATTCCTCAACCATTATCCGACAGTTTTATGACTATCTATTAGCTAAAACTTGACCCCCTCTGTGTGAGCATTGTATCCCCCCCTCCCCCCCTCGCTTTTGATGTATCTTATCTGTAGCCCTTTTTTTTTTTTTTTTTTCCTCAATCCCTTCTAACATTCTGCTTAAACTTTGTGATTTGTATAGTACTGCTTGGACTTTGAAGAAGGGGGGACATACCCCGAAAGCTTGTCCTCAAAATTGTATGTTAGTGCAAATAAAAAAGTATCACGGACAGTACTCAATTGTTTCAATACCCAGAGAAGTATTGTATGCAACATGCTGTGGTTGTATTATTGTATAATCTTGTGACATACCGTATTTTTCGCCGTATAAGTTGCACTTTTTCTTCCCCAAAAGGGGGGGGGGGGGCCCGGGATGTCAGTGCGTCTTATGGGGCGAATATGGAGCGGCCGGTCCGGTATTTCCACCGCGGCCGTGTCAGAATACCGGGCCGGCCGCTCAGCTCTGCAGCGGGACCTTACCTGTTCCTCTATCCAGCGGCATGCTGTCTTCCCGGCTTCTGTAGTGTGGGCACTGGGCATGACAGCCGGGTGCCAAGTGCGCATGCGCAAGAAGCGGTGCTTTTTGTGAATGGTAAGGCGGTACCTGGGACACATGACAGATCCCAGAAGCCGCCGGACCAATCACAAAGCGCAAGTGCTTCTCGCTCATGCGCACTGGGCACCCGGCTGTCATGCCGAGCGCCATTACAGAAGCTGGGAAGACAGCGCGTGGCTGGATCGAGGAACAGGTAAGATCAAACAAAAACTCTGCGGAAGTAAGAGCGGGTACCTGTCAAATTCAGGTACCTGCTCCCCACCTCCCCAAAGGTCAGCAGTCATCTGTACTGTCCGCAGTCTCTGGTCATCCCTGTGCTGTCCGCAGTCTCTGGTCATCCCTGTGCTGTCCGCAGTCTCTGGTCATACCTGTGCTGTCCGCAGTCTCTGGTCATCCCTGTGCTGTCCGCAGTCTCTGGTCATCTCCTGTACTGTGTCTGCAGTCCATTAGTTCAGAATTTTTTTTTCCTGTTTTCTGCCTCTAAAACCTAGGTGCGTCTTATGGTCAGGTGCGTCTTATACGGCGAAAAAATATGGTACTCCTTCTGTTATGTATGTTTCTTGCTTTGGAATTCAAAAAAAATAAAGGATTTGCCTTTAGGAAAATTGCTGTACTCTAGGGTGTGAAAAAATTTTCCTGATACAAGTCAGAGGTTGCTATCTGCATGCTTATTCTGGATAAGGCTTCTTTTACACCATAGCATGCAGCTGTGATCAGCAATGGTAGCCTCCCTGTTTATCTATGGAAATGTTTGCTTTAAAAAGTTCATTTTAGGGTTTTGATTATAATCGAAGGGTTCATCATGGGTTACATAAAAATGGCAGCAATAATGCTTAAGCAATTGTAATTGCTTTTTTTTTCAAAAATAACAAAGTCATACTTACCTGCTCTGTACAATGCTTTTGCACAGGGTAGACCTAATCCTATTCTTCTCGGGTCCCCCACCAGCGTTACTGAGTTCCCCAATAGCAAAACGCTTCCTATGGGGGCACTTGTGAATGCTTGCTCCTAAGCCAACTCTGTGTGTCCATAAATCCACGCCCTGCTCCCTCCCCACTGCCTGTGATTGACTGCAAGGGAGCTCTCTCATTGAGGAGTGAGAGCCGAGAGAGCCGCTGCTCTCATGCACATAGCTGGATTGAGATTGGACTCTGGTAAGTAGGGGGTGAGCTGGGGGGAAGGGGGGGGGGATCTGAACAAGGAAGGTTTTTTACATTAACGCATTCTATGAAAAACCTTCTGCCTTCAGAACTACTTTAAGGGAGCTTTACAACAATGGTCAAAAG